TCTGTTGTAAGGGGCTGTCTTTAAATGATGTCCACACTGAAAGGGAGGGAGGGGTTAAGACAAGTTGGACAAGGAGGGTTGAGTATTAGTGGACATCCATTTATTTCATTAAATTTTATACAATATGCATTTTATTATATTTATTTCAAAGTTTCTTGTATGTTTCATTTCTACTTATGGTATCTATCATTCATAAAGTGATGAAGGTTTTAACAGGGATAGAGTTATGTTGGACATCCATAGAGGGAAAGGGGTTACAAAAACTTGGACAAACTGGGACAAGAGGGAAAAGTAAACATTTCAAGAAAAATGCACATGTAATTTATGGATAGCCCAAGTGCTTAGACTGTAGAAAATGGACTTATACCACTTTCAAAATCAATGGTTATGCAATGTCATTTATCGATAAATTTTCAATTGATCAAAGCTTATGGTTATTTTAAAATGTTAAGTGTGAATTGTTTATAAATAAAAAGTTCACACTAAATTGTATGTATATTATGTGTTTTCTCAATTTTTTCCAAAAATGGACTTACACCACTTTCAAAATAAACGGTCCATTTATTACTTTAACAAATGTTTTCAACCTGATCATTGGGTATTTTTAATTCTCTGGAACATTTTTATGGTGGTTCTATATTCAAATGATGAGAAATTCAATTACATAATTCCCAAAAATTTGTGTTAATTATCTCAGTTTATTTTATTGATAAATTGTAAATGATAATATTGCCATTCATTTGAAAATTTTGCCTTTTAACTAGTCAGTAGTAGAATTTTAAGTTAATTTTGCTGTAAAGTTCTTCCCAAAGAACTATTTCAAACTACAGTAGAGCCTCGATTATCCGACTTAATTGGGGACTGGGGTTGGTCGGATAATTGAAAAGTCGGATAACCAAAAAGTATGAAAAAATCCATTATCATTTGAAATTTGCCAACTAGGACGGTCGGTTAACCGAGGTGTCGGATAATCGAGGCTCTACTGTAGTAACCTAATAATCACCATGTGAGAGAGTTAACAATTCGGCATAACAATATCCAACATTTTGGAAAGGAATAACAATTCCTTTCCAAAATGTTGGATATAATTCAGCTGTCAGTGATGTCTACATTCCTGATGGTCTGTTGTCTTTCAGTTGGCGTGATCAACTGAACCTTTTCACAGGCACTTTCTTTTCTCTGGTTCTTGGTCCAAACTCTTAGTTCTTTGTTGTTGCTAGTAGACTGATTACCTAGAAGGCTCAAAATTTTCTACCTCCAGAGATACATACATGAACAGCACAATTCTTTACCTCCTGCTTTTGGTTGGGTCTGGCATTGCGCTAGACACTGATATACATTCTGTATATGTTATTATTATTTAAAATTTAGTTAATTACTATTTTATCG